GGGGGATGGGATGGGGTTGGAAGGTAATCACCAGGATTTAGTATTATTTCATATAATGTGTTACCCTTGCATTGATTTCGATAATAGCAAAATCGTTTAAGGGTACTTACCACAATCAAAAAATGGATGCGCGGGTTGATATATATTTTTTGACTGATTTTGATTTGCAATGACGTAAATAATAAATCCCTGAAATATTAAGAAATCGTAGGTTTTCCTTAGTGCTTAGATATGAAATTTTGTTTTGCTTTCTATATAATTCCATACAAAATTTTGCACAATTTTTTAACCTTATGACAAAATCTTATATAATTCTCTCACTCTACTTGGTAAACATTATTCAGGATGTCAATTTAAATGTAAATCTATGAAAAATAATGCTGATTTCTGAAAAAAGTTTGTTTGTGTTATTTATCCTTAAATAGTTTGCAAATTTTAACTCAAGCCAGCAAAAACCAGGTTGAACAAATAAAAATAATTTCTGTATATTATTTTATCGTAATTATTTTTTCTTTCAAACGGTGCAAGAAGTATTCTGATATTTGCAGTATTAATGAAGTTATGAATTTTTTTTACACTATACTCTATTTTCAAGTCAGATGTATAGAAATTCGTATATGTCATATAAGGGATTAACGGAGGCTTTATTTTTACGTGAGACAATTGGACCATCTCTTCTCGACTATTTCCGACTATAATTGCGTCAGTTCATGATAGGTCACATGTATCAGCTTTTCTAAATTGGAAAATCAGATCATGACATTTTTTCTACTTAGTCTTTTTAATGTAGACTTTAACATTTATTTCATGCTTTCAGAAAACTAAAATAAATTTAGCACTGCAATGTCTGATGCCATGACGTCAGAAAATAACTTTGTGCGAATTTCATTAATTTAGTGGGCTAATTTTAACACAGATGTTGAATAAAAGGGCGAAAGACGTTTAAGATACAATGAACGAATGCAGAAACTGAAGGTATGCTTAAATGTGGAGTTCAGAAGTTAATAATATAATTGTTCCCACAAAATCTTTTCTTATTTTTCCAGGGTAAAAATTTCCATTGTTCTTTGGATACATCTACAAGCATTATTTAAAAAGATAAAGGCTTTAAAACTGAATGGTTTTCATTTGGTCAAAATTAGAATATATCCATTTTAATTTGAGAAAAAAATAATGTTTGTATAATTTAAGGCGATAATCAGATATTTTATTAATGACAGTTGCCGTCATCTCATAATTTAGCTGTGTAAGAGAAATACCTCCTTGGGTTTTCTTCATTTTAGAGGAATCCTCGATAAGTAAATCAAAGCTTAGAGGATACCATCTATCACCAGGTGATAAAGAATTCTGATGCACATATGGATATTGCCCTGAGATACCTACTGACATTGAGAACATTTACTGCAAAGAAATTCACGCCAACAATTTCTCATTGCCTGTGAGTATAGATGTAGTTGTACATATAAATATGCAGATGACATTTATTACTTTTCTATACATGAATATAATCATGATTTCATAAAAGATGGGATCAAAAAGTTCGCAAACTATTTCTATATTTACAAAACCAGATCGGAATGAAATTTGGCTCACACAGGGTCATACACATGTTCTGTAAATAGCATAGGTAATGGAATGGTTTAATTATGTTTGTGACGTCATAAAATGACATGTGATAATTACGTAAATATGTAGTTCACTTGTGACAAAACAAATGGTTGTCTCAGTCGTATTCGAGCAACAAACGACTCTTAAACGTATATGTTGGAAACTCCATTGCAGAAGCATACACTAATTTAAGTGTATACAGCTTATGAGGCCAAAAACTAACTATTGGGTTGATTGTTTTAGTTAAGGAAGAGAGATATTTAAAAATGATATTTGCTCTGTTGTCAAGTGAAAGAAAGCTTAGCAAGAGATATGTCCTTTGTTAAGCAATTCGATATGAAAGATCGCCAACTTTCGGTTAGAAAAAAATGTGGTATATCATAACAATAATTTAATTATTAAATCCCTAAAATGTAGTTTACTTTTGACTTTAAACATATCAAATGTGATAAAATGAAGGTATCCATACTCCACATTAAATAAACCACGCTCCAAAGATAGAGGTAGGGTTTTAACATGCTCATTCTGGAAAAGGATATCATTATCAACACATACTATTGCCAAGATTTGGCCATTTCTGACAAATGGACATGTACAGAAAAAAATAACTTGAATAGTAAGGTATATAATAGTCGGAAAAATATTTAAGCTTCTTTGACAGAAAGCTAAGGAGCAAGTGACTTAACCGCCAAATTAGGATTTTGCAAATTGGGCTTCTTCAGCCATTGTCTAGAGGTGAAGTTAAGTGTTTTGGCTGTGTCAAGAGAAAATGACGCCAACAGGATGTATCTCCATTTGGCATACATTAATCTGACAATTTATATAAAGTTTTCAAACTTTGATATGGTTTAATTCTTGTTAGTTATAACAAATTCTAAGAAATATTTTCTGAACACTCCAAATATACAACATTGTATTCCAAAGGTATATAGGCCTTTTTCCTAAAATTAAATCTCATGTCCCTCTGTTTCGGTTTTTACTGGCAAAAATTGCACTAAGAATAAGGCCAGGTGGTGCAAATTTCTTTTAAACTTAACATTAAAGGTGCTTAAAACATATTTAATGTAAACGTTTTCTTTAATTTTCTGTAATTTTTTTTTAACTTTTATGCTGCTTTAGAATTTCATATGAAAATATAATCCAAATGTTATTTTTCTGAAAGCGCATTATTGAAAATTTGACTTTCTAGACGAGTTTGATTGACACATTCTGGCACCTTCACAATGTTTTAACTTATTCGTCATACTAACATAATCACCAATTTAGTTTCGTATAAATGAAAAATATAAAAATTATCATCTAGATAATTAAGAGTAGAAATGTGCGAGAAAAAAAACCCAACACATCAGTTTTGTCAATCCGTGTTCATTGGTGCGTGCAGAGTTTAACAATTGAACACATCAGGCAAAACATTAACATAAACAACAACAGAGCTCGTGCCCTGTTTATGAAAATTATGTACGTTTCAGAAGTGCATTCAATCTGTTAAAATCTGTATACAACTTTTAGCACGGGCTGACATTACTAAGGAATGGGTTCGCTTACGCACATTTTCACTCTGAATATTCCGGATGATAGTTTTAATACAGTGTTTTTTCATTAATAAAAAATGATACAGTATAAATATTAAGTGATAAAGTAAAAACTTCTGAACGTGTAAGGATGCATCAATTTAACTCGTCAAGAAATTTGAATTTTCAATAACTTCCAGAAAAAAAAATTTTACTATATTTTCGTATAAATTGCTATAGCAACATAAAATCATAAGAAAAGATTGTGAAAATATCAAATCTGTGTCCACGCACCATTAAAACACAATTTCATTTCAAATATGAATTACATATCGTTCTTTGTAGTAGTATCCTTGCTTTAAATATATTCTTTAATGAAAATATAAAAACTATAAAATCGAGGAGATTATATAAAACTTTAACAGTGCAAAGATTTTCCCAAACATATAACAAATTAAAAAAAGACCAAATATTTATTTTTAATGACCGATCATTTATCATATTTTACATCAGCTTTTTATGTCATAGTACTGACTAGTACAGGCGAAAGCCGGAAAAGGAATTGGCTGTATGCTGGTATCTGTATTCCTTTGAAAATTTCCAAAACGGGGAAGTTTGAACCCAAACCTTGTTGCCTCGCCTTAGGTACAGGATCGCCATATTACTTCCCATGTTGTAAGCTGACGACACTCTTCCAGACACAGACTCGACCACTCGTCTTCCATTTTTCATCAACCAAAGAGCGTCTCCTTTGCCTCGTTGTGGCATGGATGTGAAGAAAAAGACATATACTCCAGATCTGGGGGCGCGGAAAATACCACCTCTATAAGCACTCCCTATGTTGAGGGTTGTTTGAGAGTATCTTATGATTTGCTTGTTACTCTTTATTTTCTGATTACCTAGATATGCACTGAAGGCCACCTTTCTTCCTTAAACAAAATAAAAAAATTAGTCTATAATTGTGCATATAATTTCATAGTGATTAAGACACAAAAAAGCCAAATTAGGCTAATTATGATGATTATATTTTAAAAGTGAAACATGTGGAAATGGCGAAAAGTATTTGAGCTTTAAAATCCATAAAATAGTATAAAATAGGAACAGAGCAAGCATGGACCTACGAAAGATCATAAATAGGATCAGCTGCCATGTCCTGGAATATAAATTACATGTTCAGATTTATATTTCTTGTAGATCTTTTCGTCTTTCGAGATTAATTACTCTTTTTTTTAAATACCATATAGATATATTATATTTTATAAATATTTTATCTACTTAATTTATTCTTGAGATTAAGCTTAACATTGATTTTTTTTTAATTTTGTCTAACATTTTTTTTAGCGAATTTAGTCTTTGAACTATGGTTTTCAGAAACGGACTTCTCTACAATGCGCCAATATAAACAACGATGCTAATCGCTTTCATTCTCTGATCTTAAGCTCGAGGTTTAAAAGATATATAAATACTTTAATAGTGCAAACAATGCGATTCATATGATGATATTTGGATTGAAAACCAATTAAGAAATCTTTTTTATATTTCTACAGAATTCCAGATTTTGTATATGGGCTAGGCAGCATACAGAAAAGCTCTAATATTTTGTTATTGATATTCAAGTTATTAATGGCATAAATTTGCTAAAACAACCTCTACTCATTAACCATCTTTTCAAAGATAGTCTGGCGTCCGGAGTTTCCATACTGCCTCTTTTAAAAGTTGGTCTGGCGTCAGGAGTTTCCATACTGTCTCTTTTAAAAGTTGGTCTGGCGTCAGGAGTTTTCATACTGCCTCTTTTAAAAGTTGGTCTGGCGTCAGGAGTTTTCATACTGCCTTCCTGTATATTAATAAACAGGATACATTGGAAAATTGTCAGCGAAAAGATGCATTTTAAAACAGCTGTGAAATATATTATCAATAACACAACAATAATCTAGTTATTTTCTACAATGTGACTTTAATAAATACATTGTTGCCAAATGTATTTAAACAGTAAACTTGCAGAATATCATTGTTCTTTGTGACTCATGTATTTAGAAAACATTAAACATTTTCTGAAACAAGCTTTTCGAACGCCCTTACTATTTACACACCTCTCTCTTCAACTTTCTTTTAAAAAGTGCACCGGTGTCAGGATTCTTTTTATCTTCTTCCTGTGTATAAAATCAAACATAATGCATTAGAAATTTGTCAGCGAAAAGATGCATATCAAAACAGCTGTGAGATATTATTTAAAGAATAAAGTTTATTTCAACTTATATTATACGATATAACATAACTTGGGGCAGTTTACGCTTTATAAACTGCGAAGCGGTTTATAAAAAAGCGTAAATTACCCCAAGTTTTGTTAAATCGTATAATATAAGTTGAAATAAGCTTCATTCCTTATAATGTAATGTCAGTGCAGAATATAATACAATTTTCCCCCAAGAATAAGGCTTCACATTGACTAAATTTTAAAAGTAACGTCAAGCGGAGTAATACTTTTTTAACGTAACTCTTTGTGACGTAGGCAAGTTATGTCACACAATTTATATAATCAAATGACGCGTTACAAGTAAAATTAAATTATTATCAATTACATAACAATAATCTAGTTATGCTCTTCATTCTTACTCTAATAGTGACTTTTGCTTTATTAATAGTATAACAAGAGGTTTTTTTGCAGAATATACATCGTTTTCTAATTCATATTTTAAAAGCACATGGGAACCAAATCATTTTCTTACACAAGATTTTTGAACGCTTTAACGACTAGTTTTCATATATCTTTCAATTCATATTTCTTTCGTTTTTTCTTTCTTACCGAATAAACTGTCTCCAAAGTCACAAACAAAACCAAGCCGACCAGACACAGGTAAGACACTCTAACAAACATTATGTTAATTATCTGAAATTAAAATGGCATATAAAGCTTATATATACTGTAAACCAACTTTTATTCGCGTGCGAGAAATTTTAATTGTTATTGCGAATATTTCTCGTGAAATTAATGTCTAATGGCAAAAAAGGCTTGATCGCGAAAATTAAAGAACTTATATATACGAATAAAAGTTGGTTTACAGTAATCCTTTTTTCATTATGGGAGTGCTCAAGATTCCCTTTATGTCCAAGGTATGGAAACAAATATATAACGATTCAATAAAGTATCCTTTTTCAATTAAACTAAAGGAATCCTAGTAGTTTCATTTTGTTTCAAACAAGCCTAGTAAGATTCCCTTCAAGTTTGTTAAGCAAAGAAACTATTAAGCTCCAATACCATGCTGTTTCCAAACTCAAGAATGACTAGTGGTAAATTAAGATACTTCCAAGTAGTTTCCCATCCTAGGAGACTACCATACCCTGCAAGTTTCCATTTCACTGAAACTATTACATGCTCTTATTCCCTGTGGTTTCCTTACTTAGAAAAATTAATAGACTTTCAATTCCTATAAAATAAACTTTATTGAAACCGGAAACACCTGGTTTATTGGAATTGCAGTGTTTTATTTTCCGTTAGAAATATACTCACCGTCAATGAAAACGCAACACTCTAATTTGCCTAATCAGTTATTTAACAGTCAAATGAATTTCTTTCTAATCAGTTATTTAACAGTTAAATGAATTTCTTTCCTCTACCGGAAGTTGCTTTTTAGCCCTCTTAACAGAAATCAAATTTTTGCATTTGTAAATAAAATTTTAACAATATTTTTGGTTTTCAAGGTTTTGTAGCTGTTTATCATGAGTATTGTACTAAACTCCCGGGAAGAATCCTTCTTTCTTTACCGGATGGGATGCCTATATTTCCTCAAAATGACTGATTTTCATTGCTAATGCTGGAGATTCTCAAAATAAAGAAGAAAAGAGCGACAGATGCAAATGTACACTATTTAACGACTCATCAGGTTCATGTGTTTCAATAGCATAAATAACAGTTTCTTGACCGAAAGTCCAAGAGTTACTACACTACGGCAAGTTAGGGAAAATTCGACCATAGTATCTGAACAACAGACAATTAAAAATACCCAAGAATATATATTATATTTATCAGATAAAGACATTGATAAACTTAATGCATGGTAGAAATCGGACTGCGTACATGTATGTTGTACATGGCGGACTAGCATGTTTAGATCAAATGGTCGAAAGGGGGTGTTTTATTTAAATGTTATCTGTTAAGAGGGATAAAAAATCAACTTTCGGTAATGGAATGAAAACCATTCAACCAGTGAATAACTGATTTGGTAAAGTAAAAGATGGTTTATAGTTATATCCCGTATATAATGTTTCACCCTAAAAGTAGAGTGTTGCGTTTTCATTGACGATGAGTATATAACTCAGCAACCGTTCATAGGAACCAACAGGACATAGTTTAAAAACATTTCTGCGTTTTACCCGCTGAATATATTGATCATCTCTTTCATCAGAATTAAGGTACATGTAAAAAATATTTCCAAGTTTTTTTTAATCTACACTGTTTTGTTGTTGTGAGTTGTAGTGATTTCAGGGACAGATGAATTTATCTTTCAATTGAATATGCATGTTTGGATCTAAACGATGTCTAAAAAAATGTTTGATTTCTGGTGTTGTGTTCATTCCAGCTGATTATGGATATTGCATATCATAGGCTTTTTAAACCCGCACGTTTCACGAAAGAAAATGCAGCTAAAACAATCCGTCTTTTCATTAAACTTCAATATGCCAATTAAGGAATTGACGCGGTTAATATAAGTAAATAAATATTCTTAAGTCCGCTTAATCCGCAACAGGCACATATTATCTTACACAATAAAAGTACGCCATTACATAGATAACATATAAACATAAATTATAAGATTGATTTTATAGTTAATTACAACAATCCTTACATGGAAAACGCAGATCAAAAACCTTATTGACATGACGGGCAGTTAAGATCTGTTGTGAAGTCAATTTTGAAAAAAATTAATTTATCGGTTATATCTTATAATGAAGATAATTCTAACCCGAGTATTTTTTATCCATTAGTAGAAGCCTTAGTTATAAAACATCTTTTAAAAATTAAGAAATTAATTGAATATAATCCATAGTAATTTTTATATTAATATGCATATTTACGAATATAGGAAAATCAGATATTTTAAAAGATTTTTTAAAGGAACTAAAATATTGTCCGTGTACAGGTATATATGTACTTTGTTGTGAGAAAAATGCTCGGGTTTGTTCTTCATAAGATAAACATGTAAGCGATAAATTTAATTTTTGAAGTTGATTTCACGCGATATCAACATACGAGGGTTGTCCCAAAATTCCGTAGACAAGCGTTGTTTTGTAGGAACCCTATGTCATACATTAATGAAACTTCGTATATATTTTACAAACACTATCTAATAAATTTTTGTACAAATATGGAGTAACTACACAAATTATTCCAATTTAAAAGACACATTTCATTGTCTGGTGCAGGAAGGCGGCGCAATACCCAAAAGTCGCGATTAAAATTTGGTATATTATATTTAAAATCCTACGAAAAAGTAATTACTACCCAATATATTTTTAATTGAAATGAAAATTCTTAATATTGTTTTATTAACTATATTTCCACAAATTTTGGTGCTTGTGCTTTGATAAATACGAATTTTATAACGGTTTAAATACATGGGGTTGAAATCCAAATTTTTGAAAAATGGCGGCTGCGTTTGCCCAGGCGGCGCACTGGACTGTGATCAAGTGTTTTGATCCTGAATTTACTCTGACAAAAATGCACCAGTCATAAATGTTTGGTAGTCTAGGAAAGTTTTTCTAGTCCTTAGTATATTTAAAATGACTAAAGCGGTTTCTCTATGTATATGTGAATGACAGTAACTAAAATAAAAGACAGGGCTAAGAAATGGGCAAGAGGTCCATTGTCCAAATCCATTAGAGAAAACAGACGAAAACCCCGTAGAACTATAGTGTTTTCAAAGTATCATTATTTTATACTTGTACGTGCATATACTTAGTAACATATTTTAATGTTTGATCATATCATAGTTATTAAGATATTTTATATTTATAACTATAACCGTTTCGTTTATATATAGACTTTGATTCTGGTAATTGAGATATTTTCTCCACAAATTTACACCGTTGACATTTGTATTTTTTGACGTTGCAGATTGCTCCGGGTGTAAGACAACCATATCACTTTAAATGTTATTACTCAAAAAGTTTTCAAGTAAACATGATAAAACTTCGTAAGTTATCTGCCAAGAACACACTTTATCCACCCTGAAAATTTTATAAAGATACATTAATTTCCTCAAAAGATATGAGCTCAGTCTACGAAATTTTGGGACAACCCTCGTATATAGGATTATTTTTTGTGTGACCTTACAAAAATTATTTTTTTTAACTTTTGAGTTTTGATATCTTTTAAAAGAAAAAGACTTTGGGGGTATAATTTCACAAAAGTTGTAACAATTTATAGACAATTATTTTTCAAGAAGAAAAACGAATATATATTTTTAGCGATTTGAATCGGACCAAGCGTCTTTAAACACAAAAGGGTCCAGTCTTGTATTCCACCATATTTCAAGTTAAAGACTACACCTTGCATTTCCTACAAATATACATCGACCATTGCTTCCAAACTTTTCAATTACAAAAACACTTTACATGGCCTGGATATCGACTATCTGAAAAACAATCCCCCTTTGTGTTCATGGTCTTCTTCGCCCTATAACTATAGTCCTGCTGGACACGTTATTACAGGTTACGTAAATATAGTTCGTAATGAGGACCTTAGATCACTTATTTTAAAAAGTCCTAAATATAAGGGACCCCGATCCTTCAACTGGCGTAGGATTTTCATAAATATTATGAATTCTGTTGAAATTTACGCCAGACGATGGGCCAGATAAGAAAAAGAAGACGTTGACACCCTGTCAGAATTAAATGTATCAGATCCATGTTAAAGTCACGTATTAAAAGATTGAGGGGCAAAATGAAAACCATCTATCCTTCTGTGTTCAATAAACCAGAAGTGAAAAAAGAATTAGATAGATTACACGATCAATACGTACTGGTTCCTGCCGACAAAGCAGGTAAAAACATTGTCTTCGTTTGTAAGGCTCATTATATAAATTGCATTCTAGAAGAACTTGGATTTAATTAGAACTACAAGTGGTAATCCTACTTATACTCATACTTCTCTTTCTAAGGAAGAAATTCTTCAAAATCACCTGTCAGTTTTAAATACTTTTAATATTCCAAAGAGCCAAAATGAATTCGAACTACTTTATATATTGGATTCCGAAACTTCATAAGAATCCTTACAAACAAAGATACATTACAGGTTCCAGTAAATGTTCAACCAAGCCTCTTTCGTTACTTCTCACTAAAATATTGACAGCAGTGAAGAAAAAATTTCAAGAGTACTGTGCAACTATATATTCAAGAAGTGGTGTAAATCAGATATGGATACTTAAAAATTCTAAAGAACTTTTGGACAATTTTAAATAATCACAAGACTTTACAAAAATCAACAGCTTAAAAACTTAGGACTTTTCAACTTTATACATAACAATTCCCCACGACAAATTGAAGTCCAGGCTTATTGATATCATTGATAGCTGCTTCTTGAATAAAATTGGAACTCGTAAATTTACTGACCTCGTCATTGGTCATTCGCAAAATTATTTTGTTAAAACAGATTCTGATTGCACACATAAGTACTCTGAAGTTGACATCAAGGAGATTCTTGATTGACAATATGTATGTGGTTTTTGGAGACCAGATATTCCAACAATCTATTGGAATTCCCATGGTTACAAATTGCGCTCCGTTATTAGCAGACTTATTTTTATATTCATATGAAGCAGAATTTATGCAAAATCTTATGCGTGAAAAGAAGAAAACACTTGCTGTGGCCTTCAACTCGACATTTAGATATATTGACGACGTATTGTGAATTAATAATGATAATTTCCATTCCTACGTCGATACGATATATCCTGGTGAGCTTGAGATAAAAGATACCACAGAGTCCGACACTTCTGCTTCATACTTGGATATTTTACTTGAAAAAGACACTAATGGTAATCTAACAACCAAGCTATATGATAAACGTTATGACTTTAACTTTTCTATCGTCAACTTCCCTTACTTATGCAGCAATATACCTTCATCACCTGCATACGGAGTATATATATCTCAGTTGATTCGATGCGCAAGAACAATTTCTTAAACGAGGTAAATTATTGACAAAAAAGTTGATGAAACAACAATATCAACAGTCTCGTTTAAAGTCATCATTTCGTAAGTTTTCTGGTCGATACAATGACCTTTTCAGCAAATACAATTTATCATTGAGTCAAATGCTGACTGACGTTTTTCATATTAATTGTTAGTCCATTATTTATACACTGAATTGACGACGGATTTTTTCCGTTATTTCCTGATCATGACAACGAGCACACAGCGGGTGTTACCGGTCGGCAGGGGATGCTCACTCCTCCATGGCACCTGATCCCACCTCTGATGTTTCGGAGGTCCGTGTTTGCTCTGCTCTTATTTTGTATACTGTTTAATGGATTTTGAGATTGAGCATTTGAATGATGACTTTAAACGAGACTGCTGATATTCTTGTTTCGTCAAATTGCTTGTCAATAATTTACCTCGTTGACTTGAAAATTTGACTTGAATAACATTCTAATCTTATGTAGAATGAAATTATAATAGGCGTGAAAATCTTAACTCTTTTGCCCCCATACTAGTCATGAGATCTGGGCTCTCTAATAGAAATCAGTTACAAAGACGACTAAAATATAAACAGAAATATGGAAATAATAATGTATCTAGGACAAAGACAGATTTACACAGGCGAAATCTCTATTCCTGCTATGACCTCTAAAGGCGAAAAAATTAGTTCCATCTCTTATGTTCATAAGGACGCAATTCCATCTGGTAAGTAATTTTGAAATTCGGAAATTATTTGTTTTCATAAAACAGATGTATATACAACAGACAAAATTACATCAAATTATATTAAAATTTTGCATTTAGGATTATTTCTTCTTAAAGACCCAATTTTTTTTTACCGTACGGTTACCTGAGGAGGGGGAGTGGTCGAAGTAACAGTGGTGTTATTTACCTGGAGACCCCCAATACTCAAGATTTCAAAAATCTGTATACGTAGCATTACACAGGAAGTCTGTGTTTGGTAATCTGGGTCAACATTACGTGTTCTGTGTCTAGTTTTGAGTAAAACTACGTAAAATAATAATTTTGATATGAAATTTATTTGTAAACGCATTCATCGTAATCATGTAATGTTTTGATGGAAAAAATAATAAGATACGTGTATATCGTTTTTGAAATGTTTTCCTTATGAGTAAAAACTTCAAGTCAATAATATTTATCTTTTTTAATCTTCAATTAAAGAAATCACTTGATTAAAAAAGTCTGAATATTAATTATTATTAATTCACCTATATATGCATGTGAGCATGCATTTACCGCGATCGGAATGGGTTTTTTTCCTGGCCAACAATGTTGTCCAAAATATTCCATATTTTTTATTCTTCGTGCGTTAACAAAATTTTATTGTTAGAAAGATTTTTTTCACATCGATCACTATTAATTATCTTCACATTTTCATTACGTATATATACAGACGCTAGAGGAATTTCAAGCATTACTTCTGACAACATCGTGTGCATGGTTGCCATAGTACAAAATAAAACATCTTTTGAAAACTATGCTATGCCGTTTATAAGTGCTGAATATTTTTCTGATATCCCATTTCTTAAAAAATAATTTAAATTGTCGGACTTCAATTACGGCAAATAGAGCCGGTTTGTGTGGACGCGGTCTTTCTACAGATAACGTGGACGATGTAACTCTTACAAGTAACAAACAGCAGTGAAGATAGAAAAGAAATATTTTATTATGACAATGTTTTAATAATCTATTTTCAATGATTTTTTTTTTTAAAAATTCAAACATATATGACGTTTTCTAACCCGCGTGTATACTATGCGGGTACATGAAAGCGTTTGACGCGTGACCAGGTAATTGTTTTCAAAACATGCAAACTCAGATTATCAAGAGGGACAGGTAGCTGACCTGTCAATCAAATCAGAAGCTATTGTGTTTTTAACAGAGGCGTAGTCACAAACTTAAAAGTGGGGGGGGGGGGGGCTCAACTCCAGAAATTCTTTGACAAGCAAAAAAAAAAAAATAAATTGAAAGTTCCCTAAACTCCTATTTCGGGGGGGGGGGGGGGGTAGTGGCCAACTTTTTCAAAGGCAAGTTACTTTCAATTCCAATTTTTTTTCCCACAATTCTTGATATAAATATAATAGGGTCAAAAAGTGAGGGGGGGGGGGCAACTATCCCTTCAATGAACATTTCCTATAGAAAAGGTAATGTTGGGGAAAATAGCTGTGATTTTTTTCTTTATTAAAAAGTAGGGGGCACAGACATACTCTTGCCCCCAGATCTGAAAGTGTGTGTGGGGGGAGGGGGGGGCTAGAGCCCCCGCTGCCCCCCCTGTGACTACGCCTATGTTTAATGATTGACAGGCGGTAAATTATTGATCTTTAATCAGGTAGATTTTGGGGGCGTTAACATAAAATTGGGTGTTTAAGATTCTTTGCAAAAAGGAAAGTACCGTTTGGGCTTTATTGTGTCTTAAAAATTTTATGTTCTCAAAAGGTTTTGAAATTGGCTTAAAGATGAGTTGAGCAGATGAATATGATAAATCATTAAAGACTTATTGCCATAATAGAGCAACGCAAAAATACAATGCTCCTTGACGTATTTTATATAAATAAATTCAACAAAATAAGACATAAACAACATACAAAATGCATGGATTGCATTAGAATATGGGAGTAACTAATTTTTTTTATTTGGTATTTGAGACCGTTAATGTTGATTTAACGGTCGCAAACATCCGTTTTACCGGCTCCGCTTACGCGTCGCCGGTAAAACTCAGTTTAAGACCGTTAAATTCGAGGACAGTTATCTCTTAAATTTTTGGAAACGAATGCATTGAGAAAAGACACTGAGCATGAACGGATTCGTATTAAAACACAGTCGGAAAAAGACTTTTTTTTCAGATTTTACAACATGTTATGCTTTGCATGGACAGATTATGAGATGTACAGTGTAATCGCTTTAAAATTCAGATATAGAGATGCACAAATAAAACTTAAAAATTTCTATGACCTAAAACTGATAGGATATTTGAGTATCTTCCCCTTTCATGTGCGGACCAAGATATCAGCTTACCGAAGAAAATATACTCATCGGTGACTTATACCTATTGTGATATAGCAAAATACATAACACTGCATGTTCATAGTCGTCGTACATATAAATCCATTTGGTTTTTTACTGCATGGAATTTCAATGATTCAGAAAGGATGAATTTTAATTTCTTACATCCCTTCTTTTTTTTTTTTTTAGAAAAAAATAGGACCTGATTTGTGTTGAAATCGTACCTTCTTCTTAGAAAACTGTTCATTTAAAAATGAATTTAAGTTTTGACTAACGACCTTTAGTAACAATCGGCACTGAATTAGCACGCTCCAAGTCGGCAGATTTATCAAGAAGCGCGTTGGCGACTTTGATGTTTAAATTCGAAAATTCGATTCCGATTTCGATTCAAGAATGATCATATACTCTTTCTGTGTTTAATACATGTATCCGTTACTGTTACTGGTAAAGATGCTTTAAGACTGTTTAAAGAGAAGGGATTTTATAAGCTTACTTTTGATATATTTTGACGTTTTAACAAATGTCATGTCTGTGGGTCACTCTTAAAGAAATGCGAGCTGTTTTTGATTGCTGAAAATTTCGGAGTTCCATTTTTGACGTTTTAAATTTTTAGCTAAGTATTAAGGATGAATATCTAGTCAATAACTATTTAAGTGAAGCTTTGTTTTGGAAAATCATTCGTCTTTATCTTATTTCCCATCATTGCAAGACACATTTTTAATGTTATGAAGAAGTCTTAAATGTTTTAAATAACACATTTTGAAAACCTCTTTTTCATAAACGTACGTCGCACATTGATAGCGTCTTCTGTCAATATTTTATTTGATATCCCGATCAAAAAAAAAAAATGAATTCATTTCTTAATTAATGTATAAAAGTTAAAAAATATGACACAACCAGATAATGAGATGACCAAAAGAAAAACAAATAAAAAGCAACTTATGGTTAATATTTGATACTCATTTGACAAACTATTTGCCACTTATAACCATTTATAAATATCAAGTTAAAATTCTGAAAAAGTGGAATAATATCATATTTACCAGTCTTCTATGGTTTTCAGCAACTCATATGAACAAGGAACATCACTTTCTTTTAATATACATTTTCTTCTGCAACCTGCTGTTTTATCATCAATAGTACCCTTAATTTCATTTGTAATATTTAGATCAAAAGACATTGACAAATTGATTTTAATTCATACCAATTATGCAAAGCATGTTTTCTCGCCGGTTTCTCTTTTCCTTAAATTACCCACCTGTTACTCGTTGATATGAAATAAAAGATAATATTCTATGGATCAAACTTATATTAATGTGTTTAATGATTTTAATATTAATTGTATGTTTAAAAAGAACCTGCTTCAAATACATTAACAGCTGAATAAAAGATGTGTAGACTAAAACTATCAATGTTAACGTTTGAGTCATATTTCTGTGAACTTAAATAATTAAACAAACATGTAACATGTTATTCAAAATATCAGGGTTAACCCCCCCCCCCTCAAAGAAGTGAACTTTTTAAATGTTTCATAAACTATTCGACCAAAATAATTCTTTTTCGTTGGCATAATGTTGAAAAAATATTTTTTTTTGTCATTTTGGCTGCATAATATGTAAAGTTTCAATGCCCTATGCATGATAAACAACATGCAAAGTGTGCTTAATATCGGTGCTTTGTGCACGGCAGTTTCTTGACTTTCAAAAAAAAGCATTGACAGCTAATCGGACAACTAATTTAACAAACATTATATCTTTAGAAATTTTATGATCTGGAGTACTTGTCTGTAAATTTAATATCAGTGCTTTGAAATCATAAATAATAAAAATATGACGCTATATGCCCTAACACTATTCTTTAGAAATAGCCTAAAACGACGACGTTGTGCTTAATGCGTTATTCGATGGAAGAAGTGTTTGGGTAACCAACAAAAATTGAGATGAACTGAAAAAGCTATAGAGCTTGACTTAATGCATGAAGACCACCGTTAAGTATTCGAGCAGTAAGATTTATGATCGGAACTGGGAAATTGTCTATTAAAGAATTTATTTCGTGAATTATTCTTTACTGTAGTATGTGTGAAATTGATAACTCAGTAACTAATCAAAATAAAATGCAGTATGGTATTTATGCTGAGGAATTTTTAAAGATACACAATAAGATCCTTAGTTACACTTAGTGTAACACAAAAATATATTGAAAATATTCGCGTTTCTTTTTGGACAACCCTTATATATAAAGGATATAGAGAAAAGATTTTTATAAAGTATTGTCTGATGATGTTAACAACCTTTATTATATTAGGCTTAATTCTACCTGTTCGTCCCTCAAAGAACACAAAGCAAGGATGACATGTACTTATGTATACAAAATTTTGATTTATATTGCTTTTAATAGTTTTTCTCCACTGCTGTCACTGAAAGTAGGGGGTATTGATATTAGTCTGTCTGTCCGTCCGTCAGTCCTATGATAGATCTCTACTGATTTGGAGGTCAAAAGTTCAAAGGTCATGGTAAAACAAATATGTCTGTTTCAAGTCTCTCCTTTCAGCGCGATAATTCAAAAAAACTTTCTAGCTTTTCCAATGAAATTTTATACCATATAAGAAACTCATTATAGTCCTCTTAAAGTGTCTTGTTCACCGATTCTCTATCTAAACCAGGGGATAATATATGTATGGAGATAACGAACGGTAATAAAGTTAAGCAGTATATTGAATCAATACATATAGATGTGTACTATGTTAATTAGGGGAACACAGACCTCTATAAAACATAAGAGGGAGATCAAGTGCCATGAACCAGTAAACATCCTCTGTCGACCGGTCACATACACCCTGTGCTTAATGTCGAAAAACGAATAATTCGCAACTAATTAAATTTTCAAGTATTTAAATGTCATCACAATAAGTATTAATACTCAGTCATCATTCAAATACATGATGGATTATTTTGATGAAAGTTGTTGTTACGAGCAAAAAAATTGCCATACTTTAAACGAGACTTGCTGTTTCATCAACTTGTTTGTTGAAAGCTTGCTTCTGTTTTAAAAACTGTTCTTACACTTGCGTATCGAATCGACTGGGAGAAGTATGCAGTTGATTTAGGCATACTTCTACATACGAAGAGTGTTGAAAAAGATCGTTAACTTATTGAATAACTTCCATAAAAGAAATGATATAGGGTTCTCGTGTCAAAATTTTTAAAAGTAGTCCTCTCCAAAATTAACGTGCATCTGTAACCGTTCCGCCGATGTACGGATCACTTGATATAGGCGGTCACTTGACATGTTCCGTAGCGTTCTGTCACAGAATCTAAAACATTTTTAAGACTCTAATTTTTTTTACCATGCAAGTTTTTTTTAAAACGAAAAAGTACATTTGTCGGAATTTCCATCCAAGACATACGTTTATTTTTTAACCGTTTATGGCTCGAGTATTAGAGTATGAATTAGTCTTGACCATTTTTTTCTCGTTATCTACATATTTATGTCATTTTCATATTGTGACGTCACAGACATGAAGCACTACATTTCATTACATATGCTATTGATAAATCATGTGTTTGACTCTACGTGTCCCAAATTTCATTCAGATTTAAATTGTTTTTTTTTATAAATACAGAGATACTTTGCAAAAAATTTTTATCACTCCTCGTAAATAAGGGAAGTTGACGTTGGTATAATTTGATTTGTGTTGAAATTGGTTGACGTTGGAAAAATCATATTAAGTATATATAATTATACTGGTGTATTTGTAAAAGTTGTTTTCCAGTATTAATTTTTTTAAGTAAAATTTGGTGTTTGACTGCTGTACTGATTGCTATTAAATGAATTTTACTGAGAGTCAAAATAGCATGTTTCTTTCCTACATGAACTATTATCTCCCTTGATCATGTCATGTGATTAAGACATCATGCAGCAGCTGTTAATTTGCAGAAAAAAGTATTGTAAATTCGTCATGGCTCATTCAAAATAGATACCGATGGATGTCACTTAGACAGAACTAGCACAGGTTTCAGTAGCACCAGTATCACCAAAGAAATTCCTCTGTGTTGGCTAAAATAAATTTATCCAAAATTATTTGCATACCTTTGAGCAGACAAAACGCAAAATGTTACATCCACCAGAAAACCCGCTAGACGATATGAATAATTTTAGTATTTAATACACAATAAATTTGGAGAAACTTTAACCTTATGATTCATAAGTATTTTGTCATTAACTTTCTGTCTATCAGATGGACATCCGATCCCAGAGTTTAATCATTTCGTTTTTCTTTATGTTATATTTTGTTTTTCTTTATTTAATAATTTCGTTTTTCTTTATTTATATTTGGTTTGCACTATTGGGCTTCTGTATTTATGCGACATTTGAAAAAAAGGTGATATGAAACTGGCATATCCTTGCAAAGGAAGAAGACAGTTAAAGAGTTCATTATGGTGTCCTACAATCCCGAGAAATACGTTCACCTCCTGAAGAATTGCAATCTATTTCACATTAGTTTTACATGCCTTGTCCAAAATATTGCAAAGGGAAGATCTGATTACATTATATATCAGCTTTCATACACATCTATAAATTCACCTAATTAAATAAGTTCTTTTCTGCAACAATTAGAGTTTGTGAAGTTATGAAGGTTTTTGACCGAATAACTTTAGAATAGAAAGATAGAAGCGATTTAAATAGCATTTCTCAGATCTTCTATATCGGGGGAATAAAAGTACTAATAGTGCTCCACAATGGCGATAGAACAAGTGACAATATATACCCTTTCCTTATCATTATAGATGCAGCTGTTTAACTCTGAAAGTATCCTGCACTTTTCCTCAACAAATCATCATATTATATGTAATGTCAATTTTCAACGTCTTATAATATTCTGTAATTTTCTCCTGCTTTCAGATCAAAAGTATTTGAAAAGTACATCCGAACCTCTCCAAAGTAACTTAAGACGTAAGAAAAGTCTTCATCGGATTTCATGACTGTTCAGTACATAGGAAAGGTTTGAATTGACATTAGCAACAAGAAGTTTCATGCTCACTAATCCAGGAAATAAAAGAGGTGTTCGATGAAATGAAATTGTATTGTGTCACTGTTAGATATCTAAATGGGCTGGATTTGTTATATAAAATTTAAATGTTTCTTTACGGTCCAAATTTTGAATTTTTTAAAATTAAGATAAAAAAATTCAATGAATATTTTAATAAAAACATCCCAAACTAGGGGATCAATATGATATGTAGAAAAATGACACCCAGACAACATTCTACCGGGGGGGGGGGTCATATCAGACAGGGTCAAAGAATTGTTTTAGAAACCCATGAATACATTTTCCAAGCACAATTTGAATCTACTGGAACTCAACTAATGTTTCTGAATTTTAACAACATGTTCGATTGCTCTTCACCCCTTTAATTGGTTGCAGTATTGTCAAATAATGTAATACAAAAAGAAGTTAGAACCCTACGCCCATCCTTTCTTTTCTGACTTACCAAGCTTCTTCAGGTAAGTATTTTTTTCTCAGGCTTCAGGACTTAATTTGAGTGTGTTTTATTTCGGACAGCCCCCTCCACTTCCAATATAAAAATATGTCTGGAAAAAATTGGGGCAGACCCTCATGTCCCCCAAGCTAGCTTAGTGTGTGAATACAAGCAGTGCTCACCATTTAAATGAGGATGTATCTTTCCAGGAAACAGGAGAATATAAATACCAAACCAAATTTACATTTGTGAAAACAATCAACTTTTTAATATATTCTCCTAATTTCAGACGTATTTATAAAAGACTTTAACATTATTGATTCGCAATTAGTATTTACTTATTTGAAATACCGTATTTTTGTGATTTTTATTGTCCTTGAAGCAGAATTAAGATATGTCAATTGGCACTTAGTGAAACTATCAATTTAAAGAATCGAAGCTTTGTGGGACTTAAAAATGCCTCAAGTATAATTAATTCCGTGTAAATAACTCTCACTCTTTCATGTTCATTCTATCAAGGAAACACATCCGTTTATTAATTATCTCAGCTTAATATACACATACAGTAACTGTAATAAAAGGTTTCTAACTTAGTCATAATTAAATATAGAATATATCTATTCAAATTTGAGAAAGAAATGAGTTTTTTATAGTTTGCGGAGAAAATCTATCTGACATTTACTTGATGACAGTTGCCGTCAGCTCATAACTAAACTATGTAAGAGAAATCCCTCCTTCGTTTTCGGCCTTTTTGTTGAATCCTCAAAAAGTAAGTAAAAGCTTAGAGCGATTCACTGTTCTGATACACTTATGGATAATGTCTTGAGTTACCCACTGTATAGGAGAAAGTTTGCTGCGAACAAATTCCCGAGAGATATTTCTCATTATTGCCTGTGAGTATAGATGTAGTTGTACATGTATATTTGTAGATGACATTTATTACTTTTCTGTGTATGAGTATACTGCTTACATACGAGGGGTGATCAAAATTTGTGAAATATCTCTATATTAAAAAAAAAACTAAGATCAGAGTGGAATTTGGAACACACAGAGTCATACACATGTTCTATAAATAGCATATATAATGAAATGATTTGTCCAATGTTTGTGACGTCACATTTTGTTAATGACGTCAATATGTAGATCACTTGTGACAAAAAATGGTTGACTCAGTCGTATTTGCGCAACGAAAGGCTTTAAAGTTAAACGTATACCTTGAAAATTCCATTGAAGAAGCAGATACTAATTTGTTCACATTTTATGAGGATAAAAGACTAACCATTGGATTGACTGTTTTCGTTAAGGAAGGTAGATGTTTCAAAATGATGTTTGCTCTGTTGCAAAGTGAAAGCAAGCTTGGGAAGAGATATTTCTTTTTTTACAATTTGATTTGAAAGATTGCCGACTTTCGGTTAGAAAAAAATTGAATATCTTAACAATAAAATAATTATCAAATCCATAAATCATCGTTTATTTTTGACTTTAATCATATCAGATATGATAAAATAAAGGCACCCATACCCCACATTAAACAAACGATGCTCAAAAGACAGAGGACTTGGGTTTTGACAATCACCATGCTCATTATGGAAATGGATATCATAATCCAGACATTCTTTTGCCGAGATTTTGCCATTTCTGACAAATGCACTCGTTTTTCAAAAATAACTTGCATGGTAAGATAATCAGATAGTCGAAAAAAAAATTCTAGGGGCGTTTAATTGACAAAGCCTTGCACCTTCACAATTTTAAACTTCATCTTTTATAATTACAAAAAGTACCAATTCTGTAGTGTATTAATGAAAATATAAGAACTATCACCAAGAAAATTCAGAGTAGATATAAATCTTAACCAATACATTAGTTTTGTTATCCCGTTCTCAGTGGTGCCTCCAGAGTCTAGCAATTCAACACATCCTTTGAAACGTAAACATAAACAACAACAGAGCTCATGTCCTTTTTAAGAAATGGGGTGTATTCAATTTGTTCAACTCTGTACAAAACATTTAGCGCAGGCTGACATTACTGATGAGGAAAGGGTTTGCTTTCACAATTTCTACTTTGAATTTTCTGAATGATTGTTTCAATATTTTTCATTAATACAAAAAAATGATACATGTACTTCTTTTAAGGTATCAATGTTAAAGTAAAAATTTGTAAAATTTGAAGGATGCATCAATAAAACGCCTCTAGAAATTCAAAATATAAAAAATGGGTTTTTTTAAAAATATTTTTGTATGAATTGCTACAGCATTCTTTGACCCATATCAGACAGGGTCAAAGAATTGTTTTAGAAACCCATGAATACATTTTCCAAGCACAATTTGAATCTACTGGAACTCAACTAATGTTTCTGAATTTTAACAACATGTTCGATTGCTCTCCACCCCTTTAATTGGTTGCAGTATTGTCAAATAATGTAATACAAAAAGAAGTTAGAACCCTACGCCCATCCTTTCTTTTCTGGCTTACCAAGCTTCTTCAGGTAAGTATTTTTTTCTCAGGCTTCAGGACTTAATTTGAGTGTGTTTTATTTCGGACAGCCCCCTCCACTTCCAATATAAAAATATGTCTGGAAAAAATTGGGGCAGACCCTCATGTCCCCCAAGCTAGCTTAGTGTGTGAATACAAGCAGTGCTCACCATTTAAATGAGGATGTATCTTTCCAGGAAACAGGAGAATATAAATACCAAACCAAATTTACATTTGTGAAAACAATCAACTTTTTAATATATTCTCCTAATTTCAGACGTATTTATAAAAGACCTTAACATTATTGATTGCAATTAGTATTTACTTATTTGAAATACCGTATTTTTGTGATTTTTATTGTCCTTGAAGCAGAATTAAGATATGTCAATTGGCACTTAGTGAAACTATCAATTTAAAGAATCAAAGCTTTGTGGGACTTAAAAATGCCTCAAGTATAATTAATTCCGTGTAAATAACTCTCACTCTTTCATGTTCATTCTATCAAGGGAACACATCCGTTTATTAATTATCTCAGCTTAATATACACGTACAGTAACTGTAATAAAAGGTTTCTAACTTAGTCATAATTAAATATAGAATATATCTATTCAAATTTGAGAAAGAAATGAGTTTTTTATAGTTTGCGGAGAAAATCTATCTGACATTTACTTGATGACAGTTGCCGTCAGCTCATAACTAAACTATGTAAGAGAAATCCCTCCTTCGTTTTCGGCCTTTTTGTTGAATCCTCAAAAAGTAAGTAAAAGCTTAGAGCGATTCACTGTTCTGATACACTTATGGATAATGTCTTGAGTTACCCACTGTATAGGAGAAAGTTTGCTGCGAACAAATTCCCGAGAGATATTTCTCATTATTGCCTGTGAGTATAGATGTAGTTGTACATTTATATTTGTAGATGACATTTATTACTTTTCTGTGTATGAGTATACTGCTTACATACGAGGGGTGATCAAAATTTGTGAAATATCTCTATATTAAAAAAAAAAACTAAGATCAGAGTGGAATTTGGAACACACAGAGTCATACACATGTTCTATAAATAGCATATATAATGAAATGATTTGTCCAATGTTTGTGACGTCACATTTTGTTAATGACGTCAATATGTAGATCACTTGTGACAAAAAATGGTTGACTCAGTCGTATTTGCGCAACGAAAGGCTTTAAAGTTAAACGTATACCTTGAAAATTCCATTGAAGAAGCAGATACTAATTTGTTCACATTTTATGAGGATAAAAGACTAACCATTGGATTGACTGTTTTCGTTAAGGAAGGTAGATGTTTCAAAATGATGTTTGCTCTGTTGCAAAGTGAAAGCAAGCTTGGGAAGAGATATTTCTTTTTTTACAATTTGATTTGAAAGATTGCCGACTTTCGGTTAGAAAAAAATTGAATATCTTAACAATAAAATAATTATCAAATCCATAAATCATCGTTTATTTTTGACTTTAATCATATCAGATATGATAAAATAAAGGCACCCATACCCCACATTAAACAAACGATGCTCAAAAGACAGAGGACTTGGGTTTTGACAATCACCATGCTCATTATGGAAATGGATATCATAATCCAGACATTCTTTTGCCGAGATTTTGCCATTTCTGACAAATGCACTCGTTTTTCAAAAATAACTTGCATGGTAAGATAATCAGATAGTCGAAAAAAAAATTCTAGGGGCGTTTAATTGACAAAGCCTTGCACCTTCACAATTTTAAACTTCATCTTTTATAATTACAAAAAGTACCAATTCTGTAGTGTATTAATGAAAATATAAGAACTATCACCAAGAAAATTCAGAGTAGATATAAATCTTAACCAATACATTAGTTTTGTTATCCCGTTCTCAGTGGTGCCTCCAGAGTCTAGCAATTCAACACATCCTTTGAAACGTAAACATAAACAACAACAGAGCTCATGTCCTTTTTAAGAAATGGGGTGTATTCAATTTGTTCAACTCTGTACAAAACATTTAGCGCAGGCTGACATTACTGATGAGGAAAGGGTTTGCTTTCACAATTTCTACTTTGAATTTTCTGAATGATTGTTTCAATATTTTTCATTAATACAAAAAAATGATACATGTACTTCTTTTAAGGTATCAATGTTGAAGTAAAAATTTGTAAAATTTGAAGGATGCATCAATAAAACGCCTCTAGAAATTCAAAATATAAAAAATGGTTTTTTTTAAAAATATTTTTGTATGAATTGCTACAGCAACATATAAGTCATGAAATTAAACAGAAAATTTGAGAAAACATCAAATCTGTGTATAAGTAGCATTAACACACAATGTCTTTTCAAATATGAATTACACGTTATTCTTTGTAGTAGTTTCCTGGCTTTACATATATTCTTTAATGAAAATATAAAAACTATAAGATGTAAGAGATCAGATAAAACTTTTACAGTGTAAGGATTTTCTTACCATTTATTACATACTTAGTATAAATACAGGATTTTTGCATATGCGATATGGCTGACGTATTAATAGCCGTAGCCCTGCAGGGCTGATATGGATTTGCGGGGCTGATATAGGTTATCAGCCCTGCAGGGCTGATACGGATCAATATCACACCCATAGTATATTAAACCTAAAAAAAATAGTACTTTCGATCATACACATACGTTGGGGGTTACATAATTCTCTTAATTTTAACTTTTTGAATGAAATGATAATCTAACTGATAAATAATAAATTATTTCGAAATAACGAATTGAGGACATTTGAAAGAGAAGTACATACAGAAACAAACCGAAACTGTATGAGACAATAGACTGTGTACATTTTAAGAAGTCCGTGCATGATTATTTACGTATTTTCTTCTCAACTTAATGTGTTCTGTATTTTATTATTAAGTATGTAATAAATATAACAAAACATACCCTTTTCCATATCAAATCCTGTATCAGTCCGAAACACCAATATCAGCCAGAGGGTGATATATAACATATAAAACAAAACAAATATTTATTTTTAATGATTAATCATTTATTATATTTTGCATCAGCTTTTTGTCATACTACTGACTAATACAGACGAAAGCCGGAAAAGGAATTGGCTGAGTACTGGTATCTGTATATCTTTGAGAATTTCCAAGTCGGGGAAGTTTGAACCCAAACCTTGTTGCGTCGCCGTAGGTACAGGATTGCCATATTACTTCCCATGTTGTAAGCTGACGACACTCTTCCGGACACAGACTCGACCACTCGTCTTCCATTTTTCATCAACTAAAGAGCGTCTCCTTTGCCTCGTTGTGGCATGGATGTGAAGAAGAAGACATACACTCCATTTGAGGGGGCGCGGAAAATACCACGTCTGTACGCTCTCCCTATGTTGAGGGCTATACGAGAGTATCTTATGACTTGCTTGTTGCTCTTTATTTTCTGATTACCGAGATATGCAGTGAAGGCCACCCTTCTTCCTGAAACAAATCCTTTTTTTTATTTCAATGAAGCAAAATAAAAATTGTAGTCTGTAAATATCCATATCATTTCATAGTGATTAAGACACAAAAATGCATATTTCATATAAAGCAAATTTAGGCTAGTTTGAAATATATTTTATTCATTAAGAAATGGATTGAACAGCAGGCATAAATGCCTATGATCGTTTTCTCCACAAATTAAGGCTGCTCATGATTATGTTTTTTTTTAACTGAAATATATGTAGATTACGAATAGTATTCAAGCTCAAGTCCATAAAATATTATAAAATAGGAACAGGGCAAGCACGGAACTCATAAATGGGATCAGGTGCCATGTCCTGGGATATAAATAACATGTTCAGATTTTAATTTCTTGTATATCTTTTCCTTTTTTGAGATTAATTATTTTTTCTTAAGTACAATATAAATCTATTTTTTTATATAATATAATGAATAATTAATTCAACTTCTTAAATAAGTCTCAATTTAAAGCTTAAAATGGATTTTTAATTTTGTTTAACAATTTTTAGCATTTTCTAGTCAATGAACTATGATTTTCAAAAGCTGAGAAACGGACTTTATTTTTTTACAATGCACCAATATTAACGACGATGCTTATTGCTTTCAATCTCTGATTTTAACGTTTATAAAATATATGAAGACTTGTATATGTCATACAATGTTACTAATATTATGATAAGAGCATTAAAAACCACATTTAAATTAAAAATTCTTTTTTGCAATTTTTTTACCGAAATTGATTGAAATGATATACAAAATATTTACTGTTAGTATTTCTGATTTTGGGTATGGACAAGGCGGCATACAGAAAAGCTCTAATATTTTTTTTTGATATTCATGTTAAAATGAAATAAAATTGGTGAAACAACCTCTCATCGACAATCGTCTTTTAAAAAGTGCACTGGTGTCAGGATTCTTTATATTTTCTTCCTCCTGTAAAGTAATAAACACATATTAGATTATTATATGGTGAAAGATGCATTTTCAAACAGCTGTGAAATATATTATCAATTACAGTACAATAATCTATTCAATTTCTCCATTTGGACTTTAATAAGTTAACTTTTGTTGTCGTTGTGTTACCCGTTGTCACGTGTGTTGCTAAAATCGAACGGATTGTTAACTGCGTCTAAACCAATCAGATTTTAGTATTTAACATGAAAGTATAATAATATCAATTACAGTACAATAATCTATTCAATTTCTCCATTTGGACTTTAATAAGACTTTTGTTGTCAAATGTATAGCACCAGCGATCTTTCATAATATCATTGTCCTATATGATTCACGTTTTCAAGCATTTTCTGAAACAAGCTTTTCGAACCTTAACTTACACATCTCTTCATTAAACCTTCTTTAAAAATTGCACTGGTTTCAGGATTCTTTACAACAGCAATCTTGCAGAATATCGTTATTCACATTTTTAAAGCACATGGGTACCTAAACATTTTCTGAAACAAACTTTTTGAAAACTGTAACTATTCATACATATCTCCATTTTTCTCTCTTTCTTTCTTACCGAAAGAACTGTCTCCAACGCCACAAACAAAACCAAGCCGACCAGACACAGGTAAGACACTCTAACAAACATTATGTTGATTATCTGAAATAAAAATAGCACATAACGCTTATCAATTATCTTTTTTCTCAAAATAGGAGTGCTCAAGATTCCCTCTAAATCCACGGTATGGAAACAACTATACAATGCTTCAATACGGTTTCTTCTTTCAAATGATCTAGAAGAATCCTATTAGTTTCTTTTTGTTTGAAACAAACCTAGGAAGATTCCCTTCAAGTTTTTATAGCAAAGAAACTATTAAACTCCAAGACCATACTTCAAGGAAACTAGTGGTAAATTCAGATAATTTGAAGTAGTTTCACATTGTAGAAGACTACGATACCCTGCAAGTTTCTATGACACTGAAACTATCACATGCTCTGATTCCATCTGTTTCACAACTTATAAAATCAGTAGAATCTTTGAGTTTCTATAAAAACATTATTGAGAGTTGGAAACATCTGGTTTAAAGAGACACCGTGACGCAGAAATGGGAAAATTGATAAACGTAGAATTTTGGCATGACCCGTGTAAAGGACAAGTCTCAATAAGGTTGATCTGTGGTCCCCATCTGGATTAAGCAAGTGCCAACTTAATTAATAGAATCGCAGCGATTTAGGTTCCGTTGAAAAGATAAAGCAACATTCGTTATGGGAACTACCGGGAAAAAGGATAGAAACCCAAGGGTTTTTTGTAGTTTCTCACAAAGAAATTTCCTCGTGTTACCCGCTGAATATAATTATTATCTTTTTTTTCAAATCAGATTTAAGTTATTTGTTTTTATGAGTTGTAGTAATTTCAAGGACAGATTAATTATCCTTCAAATACATGCCTGGTTCTAAGCAATATTGTAGAAATGTCTGAAAAAAAATTGCTTACTGGTGTTGTGTTCATTCAAATGAACACAGAGTTATCGACCTCTTTAAATTTCAATCTTTTAAATAAATTCATTATTTGATGAAAAGTCAAAACATGATTATCCTGGATAATTGATGGTCCATTTCTTTAAAATTTTTCTTTTATCCGATCTTATCTTGAATCGATAGTTTATAAAATAAAGTATCCTACGATTCTAACTAAAAACCGACACTGCTTAATTAACATTTTAGAAAATTTAGATATTTGCCACAATTCGCGCACAATCTTAACATTTTTTCTTTACATTAAATATAATTTTTCTTTGAAGATAACCGAAAATGAAAGTATGCTGTATTTGACAAACAATGGACAAAAGACAATAAATATTTTTGATTTTTCTATTCATACTCTCAAAATTCTTCTATTTTTTCTCTCAGCCAGTGCCCGATTTTATTCCACTTTACATTCTTTTATATCGCTCCTTACAAACAAATTTTTTTTTTGGATGCGCCAATTAATTAATATACTTATTAATTTTAAAGTAATTGGCCATATTTCTGATATTTTATAGAATTTTGAAGCAAGTTAACTTGAAAAACAATTGAATCATAAGTAGAATTGATTTGTTCTAAGCGTCAAAATCTGAACTCATTCGTCGTCATACTAGTCAAAAGATCTACGCTCTCTAGGTGAAAAGTTACAAAGTCAACTAAAAATATTAACACAGAAATGCGGAAGTAATCATGTATGTATGACAAAGGTAGATAAACACATGCAAAATCCTGCTATGACGTCTAAAAGTGATAAAAATAAGCTCTGTTTTATCAATGTTCACAATGACGCCATGAAGTCACGTAAGTACCTAGTTGATTCGGGAAATAATTTGTTTTCATAAAGCAGTTGTACATGTATGTATATACTGCAGGAAAAATTACATCAAATAATATTTGCAATCAGAAATATTTCTCCTTGAGATTCTTTGCAAAAAAGAAGGTACTGTTTGGGCTTAACTATGTCCTGGCTACTAAAGTCGGGAAAAGCTCTTTATCTGTTAATGTTGGGAGACGAATGCACTGAGAAAAGACACTGCGCATGGACGGATTTTTTTTAATAAAGAGCCGAAACAGATTTTACAGCATGTTGTGCTATGCATGGACATATTTAAGAAATAAACAACGTTATTCAGTGAACATGGCGTTATGAATAGCAATTGCTTTGCTGGCATATTCCATGATGCGCGCTAGCGCATCATGGAAAATGTGCCAGCAGAGCTATTGATATTCATAATGCCATGTTCACTGAATATTCGTTGTTTATTACTTATATTTGCATTCTTTGATTTTGTTCAAGAATATCAGAGGAAATCCTGACTTACATAAGTACGCAGCTTCTTGTCTTCAGTAAAGAAAAACATACGGCTTTAAAATCAGTAAACCTGATCAATGCTCCTTTTCTCTAATAAATCACAAACAATTTATAAAGTATTTCCCTCTCAAACACAGTTATCTGGATACAAGCAGCGCCGTCATCACATTTTTGTTTTAATGCAGTTGTGACGTCATCGATCAACGTTATTAAAACCCTCGGACAAAAATCAATAATTTAACACTATGATGAAAAATGAGCATGCTTTTATAATGATTATTACTCCAGAATGATTTTCTATGATTTTTTTTTTTTATTTTTTTTTATTTTTAATAGCTGAAATCATTCTTGAAATAGATATACTATATAAAGAAATTTTCTCTTTCTGAATGTTATAACCCAAGTGTGAAGAGTTATCCTTCTTTGTACAAATATGCATGATACGAAAAAATAAAAAATATGGCAGTGCTCTTTAAATTTAAAAAGTTTTTTATACAATTAAATACATTGAACAAAATTAAATTTTTAAAGATATAAATAAGCAATTTTAATTATTCTGAATTTCTTTTTTTTTTTCAAAGAATATTATTAAAAACTTATTTCTATTCCTCTTATAAAACATTGCATATATATATACTTCTCAAAACGGCAAATAAGTGTAGTAGATCTTGTTCTACACGAGTGTGATAGAGCAATTGCAATCATAGTAGAAGCAGTTGCGTCTATAGTCCTATGAATGCAGTAGTTGACTACATGCTCATAGTGGGAGAAAGCAGTGGATATGCAAATATTATGATATGTACAGTATATATATATATATATATATATATATATATATATATATATACAAGTGAATATATATATATGTGTGTGTGTGTGTGTATATATATATATATATATATATATATATATATATATATATATATATATATATATATATATATATATATATATATATATATGTGTGTGTGTGTGTGTGTGTGTGTGTGTGTGTGTGTGTGTGTGTGTGTGTGTGTGTGTGTGTGTGTGTGTGTGTGTGTGTGTGTGTGACATTCAGTTATTCGTTCTCAAGTTAGATCGCATTTTTGAAAGATAAAAGTTAAATGATAAAATTGATGTATCAAGTTAATTAATATGCGTATGTCTGTACATTCAGTCATGTTGATTTCCAGCATCGTTCTTATGATATATTTGTATGCAATGTCTTAGTAAAGTGAAGGAAAATTTTATGTCATTATTTCAACATTATAATTAAATGATAAGTTAAAATAATATTTATTTTTCTTTGACAGACGAATCAAAGTAAAAAAAGGACAGAAAACGTTTTCCGACTATTTTTTTTTCGTTGATACGTCGGTCAAAGAAAAACATAGTACATTCTTTTCTTAAATGTTTTGCAGCTTTCAAAGAAAATACGGGAAAATAGATCTCACAATTTGCATTTAGAAAGTCATATTTATTTAATATTGGTAAAACCATTCGTTTCGTCATTTTTTACTGCATGGAATTTCAATAATTCAGAAAGGATTAATTTTATATCCCTTCTAAATGTTGGAAAAATATAGGACCTGATTTGTTTTGAAATAGTACCTTGTTCTTCGAAAACAGTTTTAAAAAATTATGTTTTAACTAACGACCTTTAGTAACACTCGGACTGAATTACGACGCTCCAAGTAGGCATATTTATCAAGAAGCGCGTTAGAGACATTGATGTTTAAATTGTAAATTCGCTTCCAATTTTAATTTAAGAATGATCATGTGCTGTATCTGGGTTTATAAAATGTATTCGTTGATGCTACTGGTAAATATGCTCTCTGACTGATTTTAAAGAAAGAATTTTTAACTTACTTTTGATATTTTGTGACGTTTCTAAAATAGTACTTAGGAAAGGATATCATTCTCCACCCATACTATTGGCAAGATTTTGCCATTTCTGACAAATGGACAGGTACAGAAAAAAAATAACTTGTATGGTAAGCAATATAATAGTCGAAAAAAGTTTCAAGCTTCTGTTTTTAGCTTCGGTGACAGAAAGCTAAGGAACAAGTCACTTGACCGCCTAACAGGAGGGCTAATTCGAAAAATTTTCAAGGTAACTGGAGCAAAGAATCATTTCTATTTTGGAAGTTATTCAATAAGTTAGCGAACGTTTTGATCACCCTTCGTATACGTAACTATTATTTAGGAATTTGCTAATTGGACTGTTACTATTGAGTGAAGTTTCTTCAGCCATTGCCAATAGGTAAAGAAAAGTGAAGTTTCTTCAGCCATTGCCAATAGGTAAAGAAAAGTCTTTAGCTGTGTCAAGAGATAATGACGCCAACAAAGGGTATCTCCATTAAGCATACTGACCATTTATGTACAGTTTTCAAACTTAGTACTAAAACAAAATTCTGAAAAAGTGGAATGATATCATATTTACCTGTCTTTTCTTTGGTTGTCACCAACTCAAATGGACAGAGAACATCACTTTCTTTTAGACATTTTTTTCTGCAACCTGTTGTTCCATCATCAAAAGCACCCTTAATTATGTATGCTATATTTAGATCAAAAGAAATTGACGAATTTATTTGAATTCATACTAATTATGCAAAACATGTTTTTCGCCTGCAAATTTTATGGTTTTTTCAGTTATTTTTAATTTCGTAAATTTACCCACCTGTTACTTGTGGATATGAAATAAAAGATAATGTTCAATGGATCAAAATTATATTGGCGTGCTTAATGATTTTAATATTAATTGTATGTTTAAGCACAACCTGCTTCATATACATTTACAGTTGAATAAAAGACGTATCGACTGAAACTTTTATATCAAACGT